AAATGAACTATATGAGATCTTTTTTAACAGATATTACTATTATCTTATGTATAAAAAGAAAAATTTCTTCTATAGTTGTTAATTTATAAAATGGACAAAGCAATCCTGTGGTATGCAATAGCATTTTTGTAGGACAGTGATAACCCAAGTAAGTAAGTACTTACATGTATAATACTTTGAAAATCATTCTAAAACATGGGTGTCCAACCTTTCGATTTGCCTGGGCCATACGAAATATATAATACAGTTAATTGTACATAAGTAACAAAACCTCCTTTATTTTTTAATATTTTTTATTATAATGCAACTGAGTCGTAAAAAATATCGCTAAAAATCACATAATAATGTTAAAAGTTTACGATATTGTGCTGTTCAGGGCCGCAGGTTGGACACGCCTGTTCTAAAACCTACTTTCTGTTATATTAATCACGTAGTGTTTACCTTCATAGGCAGGTAAAATATTTTGTATAAACTTTTTAAAGTAAAACACACTTGTTACCAAAAAAAAAAACTGCAAAATTGATTAAAAAGAACAATTTGTAGCGTGTATACAAGGTGTAGCGCGTAACTGTTGCCATGATTTTTCAGACACTTCTGAGGAAAAAATGTTTCGAACATAAGTTAATCAGCTTTCAGTCGACTACAAATTATAATATAAAAAATTTCCAAAACCGTTTTTTTTTCGATAAAAAGTCAAGGTCACCATGACTTTTTTAAATGGTACCATATACAGTAAAGATTCTATAAGAATTCGTTGGGATCTACACGTTAACTGTTCATAATCTATCCCCACCACAAGGGGGAACCACCCTTGAACCAGGCAAGCGACTAATGTGACACGGTCACATCTCCTTATCGCATTCGGTGGCGGCATGTCCGTGAGACAATACTAACAAAACTATAAAAGTTTGTTATTTTCAATTTTTCGTTAATAAAAATTTCATCAAAATACTGGTGAGATTTCCCTGATTAAAATGATACCAAACACGATATAGTTACAAAACTTGGTCGTGTCGATTGGGCTTGTGAATCTTCCTTTGCTTGCTACATACCTTCTTCTACGTTCATTTCACTGTCGGAAGAATGTAGGACTTCTCCGTTATGAGTTTCACAGCTGTGCCGAATACGAACAGTTATCCAGTACTAGAACTGAACCAATCCGGTTATTCTCGAATGGGACAGCTTCTACACGTTAACTGTTCGTAAGCGGCATTGCCTTTGATCAATTAACGGAGAGTAAGAAACGATTTTCGACCTCTGACAAGTTTAAAGGGCACATAAGAATACACATAGGAGTTGTTATACTAACGTTTACACTACTCAGGACTCTTCACAAGCAGTTCGCAAGCAGTTTGCGAACAATTATAATTTACTAATATGTTAAAAATTTTACGGATTTACTAGTCAGCGTTTTTAATGAATATGTGAAAAAAATCAAAGAGAAAAAAGTGGTACTATTTTTTGCAAATAATATAACAACGTATGCGAACTTTTTGTGTTTGTATTATTTTTTGGGAAATGAAGATGACATTCAATTTTTTGAATAGAATTTAAATTCTATTCTATGCTGACTAGTAAATCCGTTAACATTCTGTATAATTATAAATAGGTGCAAGTTGTAGTTTTCCAATTTTTTGTTAGTTCCATTAATTTTAGTAATTCTTTTGAATTTTTTGACTTTTTGTAATTTTTTAATTTTGTATAACTTTGTAATATCCTGTAATTTATTTAATTTCTTGTAATTGCTTATATATATTTTAATTATGTATCACCTTGGAATTTTCTATGTTTTGTAAATCCTTATATGTAATCTTTTTTAGGTGTCTTACATTTAATAGATATAGGAAAGACATAATAAAGTGTCGATGTATGTAAATATGTATTAATTATTTATAGAGAGGGTGTAATTATGTGTGTATGTATGTGTGGAATTTCTTATTAAGTAACTAAATGTAAACCGAATTATACCGTGTTTGGTCTCATTTTAATCAGAAAAATATCATGGATATGTTAGTAAAATTTTTATCAGCAAAACACAAAAAATAAAAAAGTTTTTCTTTTGTATTAGTGTTGTCTCACCGATATGTAGGTGTTTGATATTTTAGGACTGTTCGACTTTCAATACCTCTCTCTTCTTTGGTTGCTGTCTCTTTCTGCGTACGTCTATGTCGGTAAAATACAAACAGTTTGAGAAACCTAGTATGTAATACGATAAATAATCCATTAAATATCTTACGAAAGACCTTAAATAATAGTTATATCTTCTTTTCGTGTATATATCCGCCTCTTGCCTTTATTGCAGCATTCGCGATTCTGGGCATCCTGGCTATTAATTTCTCTATTGTATCAGATGTAATGTTCCTCTTTTTAAGATTTCCCACAAGTTTTTTTCTGACTTAGGACACATTTTTCGCGAAGAACACAGCGAAGACATATCTCATAAATATTTAACAATTTCAAGGGCTTAAATAATTAAATTATTCACAATCATACAACTGGAATACGCTAAATATATACATATATCCAATAGAATTTGTAAAAAAATGCGATGTAATATTTATAATTTACGTCGGATAGGAAAGGTTCACAGAAAATGACAAGTGTCCTAATACTTTTGAGCGGCAGTGTACATGCTGCCTTAATAGTGAAAATATCTACTCTTTTATTTGTTCGTAGTTGTCACTTTATTTACTAGCGGTAAAATTATTTTAAAGTATGGGAATCTGTAAAATAAAATATTGCCACTGGTTCAAAAATTGCTTGCCACCCAAATAATTACTGCATCATGATGCAATCACAGACGAGGTACAGGATAGACCTAACACCTAATGTATTTTCATGTCCAACGTTCTGAAATATCGATCGTGTAAAAATTCAGAGGTTTTGTTATGCCCTCTACGATATAGAACGGTGAGTTGAGGAATTATACAGGGTGTCCCGTAACTCCTCGAACATCCGGAAATGGGGGGTAGCTGGGGTGACTCTGAACAACTTTTTCCTTTTCCAAAATCCAGTTTGAAGCTTCGTTTTCGAGTTATTAACGAAAAACACTGGCCAATTACAGCGCGCGTAGAGCCCGCGCTCAGGGACAGAGAACAGAGGCTCAACCGCGCGCGATCGAACAAATGCGTACGCGTGACTTCTCGGTTCTCGATAGCTGTCAAAAAAATTTCACTTTGCACTGCTGTTTTTATAAGGCTAGGAGTTACGGGACACCCTGTATACAATTCAATCATCAAAGATGGTAAACTCGGCAGATGTAAAAAATCCGCTTCCATTAAATTTACATATAAAGATACATACTTATATTGCATTGCGTGGGTAGAATTGTTCACGATCTTCTGACAGCAGATCTGAGAACACGCGCATGTGATGAATCATCTACTAATAAACAATTACGTTACTTTCTTATTTGCAATTTCATGGTTACGTTTAATTCCAATTCCATCCACTACTAATGTTGTAATCGCATTCTACGTTGAATCGGTAATGTTGGTACCGACACGAAAGTGGTAAGAGTCTTCTCGGCCCCAAAGCCCCGGACAAAAAGTCCCATAAGATGTTACGTCTATTCTATAGGGGAGATCGGGGAAATGATACAATGGTAGATTGATGCAGTGAAATTATCTGGACACTGTGTACGTGTAGCTCGATTGGAGATCTACCCCTGTAGATCCGAAATTCTTCATCCATTTAACTTGAAATTTGTACACATTATTTTTTATAAAGCAATCTACAATATAACACAGAATTTATTTGTTATCTTCATTCGTTGAATTTTTATAAATATTTAAATTTGAGTTTTTTCAACGAAAACGATAATTTTGTCTTTAACAAGCCGCCAATTTTTCATTTTTCAAAATTATTAGAAAATCTTATATTACATTGAAGATAATCTATTTTTGTATAAGTTGACATAAAAATTTTTTATTTCCTATATTCCAGTCACTTTTGCTACTGTGCTAATATACAAGCTAACGAGGTACCGCTGGACATAATATACAACTATACCACTTAATAATTTTAAAGCAATAGAAAAAATATGAATATAAAATTAAGATGTTGCTTAACGTTCCCTATTAAAATTTTTTTCTTTTTACCAAATATTTATAGGCGAAAAAAAAATGTTAGATTCACCCAACTTTTTTAGGCTTCCATGGTTGCATACCCCCTTAATAAGTGAAAAAAAGTTTGCCGCTGTTATTTATTGCACACACTGAAAAAAATAAATCTTGAATATTGTCCAAACGTGATACTAGAATACCCCCTTAATACAGTAGAGGAAAATGTGTAAACGACACCTTTACTGTTCCTTTTCTTTTCCTGTGCAAGAAGACTTTTTGACTATACAGCTAAGGCACTTCCACAGTTATCCCATGAGACTCACGCCCATTTTACCTGATTCCTCTACTCCCCCTACTTCTTTGACTAACCGAATAAGCCCCTTTTCCATGAACGCGTTTTTATTTGAGGATCTTCTCTCAAATTTTACGTTGCCGTGACCCATTTTAATGACCCATTTTAGTTATTACAAATTAAAATATGCTCACTACTATATCTTATATAAATATTATTTTTATAAATGAATATCATTTAACGGTACAAAAAATGTTTTAAAAGTAGCAATAATCAGAATCACACCTCACTGTTATGTAGAAATCAATTATCTAACCACTGCATAACTGTCAGCTTGATCAAAGTCTTAATTAGACATATAGATAAGGTTCCCTAAACTGTGAAACTCAATTTTTCAAAAATGCTTGAAAGCAATATGCTACTATTTTACCACAATAAAACCCATATTGTACTATCAGTGAGAAAAGCAAATCAGGTTCTCTCTGAATGTGTACATTTCCTATTGGTAAGACAAATATTTAAAGTATATACTGATTCATAAGAAAAATAATTAACAATAAATTATATTTCTATCGATTCTTGTAGTATAATTTAGAAAGTAT